AAGCGGAGGCGGAAGAGCAGGAGGAAGCGGAGGAGGAGGAGGAAGTGCAGGCGGAAGTGCAGGCGGAAGTGCACGCGGAGCTGCAGGCGGAGCTGCGGGCGCTGCAGGAGCGGATCGAGGCGCTGCAGCAGCCGCTGCGGGAGCGACGGCGCCGCCTGCTGGCCGCCAAGGAGGAGCTGCAGTTCCTGCGGGACCTGCAGGACGAAATCGTGAGTTGGGGGGCAGGGGGGGGAGGGGGGCTTTGGGGAGGGGGCGGCGGGGAGGCCCAAGCTGTTCCGCCGGCCTTTGAGCTGCAAGGACCCGTGCAACGCAAAGCAGCTCGGGCTGTGAGCTTCAGGGATGCTTAGGAGCCCACACAACACGTTCTGTGACCTTTAAGGACCTTCCCAACCCAACCCACCCCAACACAACGCGTGGCTCTGTGACCTTCCAGGACCCTTCCAATGCAAACCAATCTTTTTATTGACTTTTAAGGACTCTTCCAACCCAACCCAATTCATTCTGCCTTTCCAATGCAAACCAATCTGTTCTGTGACCTTTAAGGACCTTCCCAACCCAGCACAGCACAGCCCAACACAACACGTGGCTCTGTGACCTTCCAGGACCCTTCCAATGCAAACCAATCTGTTTATTGACTCTTAAGGACCCTTCCAACCCAACGCAATTCATTCTGTGACCTTCAAGGACCTTCCCAGCCCAACCCAATTCATTCTGCCTTTCCAATGCAAACCAATCTGTTCTGTGACCTTTAAGGACCCTTCCCAACCCAACCCAGGCCACCCCAACACAATGCATGGCTCTCTGACCTTCCAGGACCCTTCCAATGCAAACCAATCTGTTTATTGACCTTTAAGGACCTTCCCAACCCAACACAACCCACCCCAACACAACGCGTGGCTCTGTGACCTTCCAGGACCCTTCCAATGCAAACCAATCTGTTCTGTGACCTTTAAGGACCTTCCCAACCCAGCACAGCCCAACACAACGCGTGGCTCTGTGACCTTCAAGGGCCTTTCCAATGCAAACCAATCTGTTTATTGACCTTTAAGGACCTTCCCAACCCTACCCAATTCATTCTGTGACCTTTAAGGACCTTTCCAATGCAAACCAACCCATTTGTTGAACTTCCAGGACATTCTCAACCCAATCAAACTTACTCTGTGACCTTCAAGGACCCTTCCAATCCAACCCAATCCAATCCATTCTATGGCCTTCCAGGACCTTCCCAACCCAACCCAACTCATTTTCTGACTTTCAAGCACCCTTAAAACCCAACCCAACCCATGGTTCTATCTTCAAGGACCCAAGCCAACCCAACCCATTCTATCGCGCTTTGACCTTAAAGGACCCTTCCAACCCGACCCAACTCATTTTCTGACCTTCAAGGACCCTCCCAACCCAACCCAGCCCATTCTGTGCCCTTCAAGGACCCTCCCAACCCCGCTTTGCCCCACAGCTTTGGGTGAAGGAGCGCCGCCCCATGGCCGCCTCCACCGACCACGGCAAGGACCTTCCGTCCGTGCAGCTCCTCATTAAGAAGAACCAGGTGGGTCTGGGGGGGCAGCAGCTGGGGGTCCCACCCCCCCAACCCCCCTATGGGGGTCCCAGCCCCCCATCCCCCCTATGGGGGTCTCCATCCCCCCCCTTTCTCTCAATAGGGGTCCCACCCCCCCAACCCCCTTATGGGGGTCCCACCCCCCCAACCCCCCTATGGGG